ACATGCAAACAAGATGTAATACTAGCCTTCTCAAACAAGGATACCATAAGAGAAGAAAATTACAGGCCAGGCCAATAACCCTGATGAACATAAATACAAAAGTCCTCAACAAAATATTAGCAAACCACGTTCAACATCATTAAAAAGATACACAAGGGTCGTCTGGGTGGCTCAGTTGGTTAAGTCTCTGACTTTGGCTCAGGTTATTCTCGTGGTCTGTGAGTTTGCGCCCCATGTCGGGCTTGATGCTGACAGCTCAGAGCCTGGAGCCTGCTTCGGATTCTGTCTCCCTCTCTCTCTGCCCCTCCCCTGCTTGTGCTCTGTCTCTCTTGCTCTCAAAAATAAATAGACCAAAAAAAAAAAAAAAAAGATCATACACCATGACTGAGGTTGATTTATCTAAGGGATGCAAGGATGGTCAATATCCACAAATCAATTAATGATAGATACATCACATTAACATTTGCATAGAAGAATAAGCTATTGTGTGTAAAGTACAAATAAGGCCAGGAGACTCCAAAACAACTGTAGAGAGAGAACTGCCTCAGTTCATAATGACTTAGCAGTCCTCGTGCCATTCTGCCACAGGGAGTGTGACTTGGCTTCTGTGAAACAAATTCATGTCCCTGGGATAAATTCCCTCTTTTGCTTTAGCTTATGTTGGTTTCTGTCCTTTGATACCAAGACATATTCTTAGTTTTTCATTTACATTGTCTACCTACCTGGTCTCAACTCTCATTAGCCTAGAATTTTGTAACAGCCTCTTGAACTTTAACATGATCTCATTGTCTACCTTCTTTTTGTAAGTAAACAAACATATTTTTGCCTGATTAGATGCTTTGAAATATCATTTTGCACTGGCCTCCTCTTGACTTGTTTTCTTTAATAAAATTTGCGAATTCTGGCGAAGAGAAGGCACAGATTAAGGAGTAAGACTATGTTAAATTGGTTTATAAAATGAAAAGGCTACTCTATAACATAAAATACCGAGTGAATATGAAGTTGTTAGTGCCTTTATCTGGAATTCTTTTTCCAGAATAGTGGCACATCTTCCTCTGCTTCATTCAGGTGTCTGCTTAAATGTTACCTACTCAGGCCATTCTGGTTAATTTTATCTAAAATGGTAGCTTTTTTCTTTTTTTTCATCTTTTTTTTTTTATTTTTTATTTAAAAAAATTTTTTTTTTTCAACGTTTATTTATTTTTGGGACAGAGAGAGACAGAGCACGAACGGGGGAGGGGCAGAGAGAGAGGGAGACACAGAATCGGAAACAGGCTCCAGGCTCCGAGCCATCAGCTCAGAGCCCGACGCGGGGCTCGAACTCACGGACCGCGAGATCGTGACCTGGCTGAAGTCGGACGCCCAACTGACTGCGCCACCCAGGCGCCCCTTTTTTTTCATCTTTTTAAAAAATTATTTATTTAATTTCAAGTTAGTCAACGTATAGTATTGGTTTCAGGAGTAGAACCCAGTGATTCATCACTTACATATAACATCCAGTACTCATCCCAACAAGTGCCCTCCTTAATGCCCATCACCCATTTAGTCCATCCCCTCCAGCAACCCTCAGTTTGTTCTCTGTATTTAATAGTCTCTTATGGTTTGCCTCCTTCTCTGTTCTTATTTTTTCCTTCCCTTTCCCTGTGTTCATCTGTTTTGCTGCTTAAATTCCGAATATGAATGAAATCATATATTTGTCCTTCTCTGACTTATTTCGGTTAGGATAATACACTCTAGTTCCATCCACATTGTTGCAAATAGCAGATTTCATTCTTTTTGATCTACGATTAATATTCCATTATATATATACACATAACACACACCACATCTTCTCTATCCATTCATTAGTTGATGAATATTTGGGCTCTTTCCATACTTTGGATATTGTTGATAGCGCTGCTATAAACATTGGGGTGTATGTGCCCCTTCAAATCAGCATTTTTGTATTCTTTGGATAAATACCTCGTAGTGCAATTGCTGGGTCATAGGGTAGTTCTATTTTTAGTTTTTTGAGAAACCCCATACTGTTTTCTAGAGTGGCTGTACCACTTTGCATTTCCACCAACAGTGCAAAAGTATTCCCCTTTCTCTGCATCCTCACCAACATCTTGTTTTTTTTCTGAGTTGTTAATTTTAGCCATTCTGACAGGTGTGAGGTGGTATCTCATTGTGGGTTTGATTGTATTTCCCTGATGATGAGTGATGTTGAGCATCTTTTCATGTGTCTATTAGCCATTTGGATGTAGTCTTTGGAAAAGTGTCTATTCATGTCTTTTGCCCATTTCTTCACTGGATTGGTTTTTGGATGTTGAGTTTGGTAAGTTCTTTACAGATTTTGGATACTATCCCTTTATCTATCATTTGGAAATACCTTCTCCATTCTGTTGGTTGCCTTTTAGTTTTGTTGATTATTTCCTTTGCTGTGCAGAAGGTTTTTATCTCAGTGAGGTCCCAATAGTTCATTTTTGCTTTTGTTTCCCTTGCCTCTGAAGACATGTCTAGTAAGAAGTTGCTGTGGCCTAGGTCGAAGAGGTTGCTGCTGCCTGTTTTCTCCTGTAGGATTTTGATGGTTTCCTGTCTCACATTTAGGTCTTTCATCCATTTTGAATGTATCTTTGTGTATAGTTTAAGAAAGTGGTTCAGTTTCATCCTTCAGCATGTCGCTGTCCAATTTTCCCAACACTATTTGCTAAAGAGCCTGTCTTCTTTCCATTGGATATTCTTTTCTGCTTTGTTGAAGATTGGTTGGCCATACATTTATGAGTCCATTTCTGGGTTCTCTATTCTGCTCCATTGATCTAGGTGTCTGTTTTTGTGCTATAAAATAGTACTTTTTCTTAATCACTTTATCCCTTTACCCAGTTCTTTTTCTTTAAAGAACCTACTAGCTGTTACGCTATATACTTCTTTACTGTTGGCTTCCATCCATTAGAACGAGCATTGGAACTTCATCTGTTTTGTTTACTGATACATCTGTAAATGTTTACTGATTCATCTGTTTTGATACTGATACATTAGTAGTGTTTGGAACAGAGTAAGTATTGAATAAATGAATGATTACTATGCTTGGCATAATGAGCTAAGAAAGATATATTTATACTACTATCTTAAATCTGGAAGTGTAAGATACTCTATGAGAAGAAAAAAATGATTGTATACAAACTGTAATTTATGGGCAAGGGGTTATCACAGTAACTAAGAATATGAAGGAAAAAGTCTTGTATGTACCTATAGTGCACGAACTACCAAAGATGGGCACTTCAATTTTAGTTCTTACAGCGTTTTTAGCATATAATTATATGCACTTTCATTTTTTAAAATATTTTTCAACCTTTCCATTTTTTTAATGTTTATTTTTATTTATTTTTGAGAGAGAGAGAGAATGAGAATGAGTGCCAAGTGGAGGAGGGGCAGAGAGGGAGGGAGACACAGAATGTGAAGCAGGCTCCAGGCTCCGAGCTGTCAGCAGAGAGCTGGATGCCAGGCTCAAACCCATAAACCATGAGATCATGACCTCAGCCAAAGTCGGATCCTCAACTGCAACCAACTAAATGCACTTTTAGAAGTACTTCATGGAAAATAGAGAAATATATCAATATTTGAAGACAAAAATAAAAGTTCAGACATAAAGTGTAAGCTCTTGGTTTAAGTGGAAATGAGATCTTTTTGGAGATTTGTTAGTGGGCTGTATTGTCACTTTATGGAACCAGAGTTTTAAGAACTAGCTTCATTTTTCTCCTAGTAGTAGTAGTTGGGAGTCCCTCTGAAAAATAGAAATTTAAGAAAAATATAAATTACTATTTTGAAATTCTACCATTAAAGTTTATGTCTTAGAAGGCAAAGTGAGAAATGAAAGATTTTGGTCACTATTAGAGAAAAATCAAATGTACAAAGCATATAGTTTATATTTAATGTCATTTTCAATTAATCTTAAGTATTTCAGAAAATGTGCCTACCATAATTATATATTATTTAGTATATAATATTGTATAATCAGTATTTATGGACTTAAATACATTTAAAAAATATTTGACTAAATTTTCAATATTTTATAAACTATGTATGAGTCATGAATATACAAACATTTTATCAGAGTTATAAAAGGATTGCATATTCTAAATTATGGCTTCCATCAGCTATTCACTTTTTTGTGGATTATGTGATAAATGAAATCATGGAAATGAACATTTTATAGCTATTACTAATAATTATGTCAACAGCCTTTATATAGGACTGTTTCAAGCATTAACTGAAAATCAAGGTCTTTCCATCCTTTATACCAGGAACATACATATGTGAGCAACATACACAAAAAATGACCTAGATCCTTTTGATGAGTAAATGATTTTCCTATATTTTCTAAATATTCTAAATATATTTGCTAAATTTGAAAAATGTACTCCCTCATTCTAGTTAGGATCCCATTTATAATATTTATTCCACTACATTTATGGTTTTATGACCAAATTGAAAGATGGTGTATCATTAAAAAAACAGATCAAATTAGCTTCTTCAACTCCTTATTATATCTGGTAACTGTACTAAAGAAAATGGCTTTGAATACGGCAAGTCCCAGTCTGTGAAAGTTGTAGGCAAGTACAGCACTTGTGCAGAGGTGAGCTATTACATGACCAAGGGTAAACTGTCACAACTATATACAAAGAAGGAAAAGAAGATATGTAGGAAGAGATCCATTACAGTAGCAAATGTTACCTATTATTTCTAAGGTTTTAAGCTATTTTGAAATTATAGGAACTGAAGGGCAATCTTTTTAAAGATGTATATAAATGGTTTAGTTTTAATATTTATTCATTTATAACATAAATAAAAATAAGAATAGAAGTAACTCTTAAAATAAAAAAATAGACCACATAAAATGAGCATTTTAATACAAATCATTAGAATATATTTATACTATATATAAATCTATACATTAGAAGACACTACTGAAATTTTGCTCTACAGAATATCATTCTAGAATTCTCTTTAAAACAACCAAATCACTGGGAAGAATTAGATGATGACTGTGAAACAGATTCTCCCATTACAATACTACTTCTGTCATTTAGAGTTTTGACAACAGTTGTAGCTGGAGACTGTAGCACTTTACGAGAGAGCCTCATTCTTCCATCAGCTGGATCACGTCCAAAGTATTTCACCTATATTAAAGAAACAAATTTACTTTGAAAGTTATAGTACAGTGATTGACATCCAAATTAGAAGATATTTAAATTTACATAGTGCAAATAAAACACTGATTAATGTTTTTACTTGTCTGCTGAAAGCATAGCTCAGTGCTAAGTAGAGGTATATGCTAATAAATATAATTTGGTTAAACAGTGATTATAAAAAAAGAAGAGACCAGCATTTAGTTGTCCAATTATAATCTTCTGTTAGACTCATCTGTGCCTTCCAGGTCTCTACACTGGAAGAACAGTGAAAGCCATGGTCAATGATTCTAGATAAGGGATTTCTGAGCCTAATGGTGCTACAAACTATATAGGATTATGCTTGGGTCATTTACACTATTTCTCAAAAAGGACTATCACACTGGAGATTATTTGGCTTGACCTTAGACAACACAAGTCAGGGGGAATTGTGGCAGTTTTAAAGTCCCTTCCGATGTTAAAAAAACAATCTTATACAGATGTATCTTAGTTTTTATTCTTCTCCAGAGGCTACCTGAACAATGGGACTACAGATTGGGAATAAACTAGAAACCTTAGTTACCCGGGTCATGGATGATAGGTGTAGCTGGAATGTGGTATGGAAGAACAATAAAACAAAAGAAACAAAACCAAACCACACCACACCAGACTGGCAATGACTTCCTTTATCCACTCATAAAAGACTATAGAAAAGGTCAAACAACATGGCTTTCATCAAACTTAAAAACTTTTAGCCTTAAGCAGTGTAGAAGCAATTAAAGTCTCAACTCCTCAAATATGACATTCGAGGCCCTCAACAGAGTTACTACATTTTCAGGGTTCTCCTGTCCTGTCTGCAAATCACTGCACAGTCATCACTGACCTCATGTATTTTTAAAAGCTCTAAAGGGGACTACTGTTCTAACTAAACTATAAGCTAGGGGAAAGAATTGCATCTTAAATCTTTAGTGAGTCTATTTAAGAGCAAACCTAAAGTTTAAAAAGCACAGCATATAAATAATGTAAATCACAGATGTTGCTCTGATTCTTTCAGCTTACTTAAAAAAATTCAAACTTCGGATATAATTTACAATATTAAGGGTAAAAAGTTGAATACAAGTACCTGAATTTCTTGGCCAACTTCTAATCCTAAAGCAGTAGGATGTTTAATCTGAAAGAGAACATGTTAATCTATTAGTTGTTGTATATAATTTCCTCATATCCATAGTAGTACACATTTTTTAAGTAGAAACAGCTTTATTGTTTTTTTGATTATAAAATCTGTTGATAAAGACTTAATACATAAGTATTCAGATAATAGCAAAAATTACTGAAGACCTCTATACTTTTAGATCACGACTGCTAATACAAGTATTCAAATGTCTACTTAGTGTGTATTACATTTGTAAAAATGGACCTTACTGAGCTTGTCTTATAGTATGTTAATTTTTCATTCAATAATATGTTGAGGACATCTTTTTACAGTGGTGAGAATGGACATCCCTGTTTTGTTCCTGACCTTAGGGGGAAAGATCTCAGTTTTTCCCCCATTGAGGATGATAATAGCATTTGTCTTTTGTATATGGCTTTTATGATCTTGAGGTATGATCCTTCTATCCCTACTTTCTTGAAGGTTTTTATCAAGAAAGGATGCTGTATTTTGTCAAATGCTTTCTCTGCATCTATTGAGAGGATCATATGGTTCTTGTCCTTTTTTTTTTATTGATGTGATGAATCATACTGATTGATTGGCGGTTACTGAACCAGCCCTGCATCCCAGGTATAAACTCCACTTGGTCGTGGTGTATAATTTTTTTTAATGTATTGTTGGATCTGGTTGGCTAATATCTTGTTGAGGATTTCTGCATCCATGTTCACCAGGGAAATTGGTCTATAGTTTTCTTTTGTAGTGGGGGTCTTTGTTTGGTTTTGAAATCAAGGTAATGCTGGCTTCATAGAAAGAATTTGGAAGTTTTCCTTCCATTTCTTTTTGGAACAGCTTTAAGAGAAGAGGTGTTGACTCTTAAATGTTTGGTAGAATTCCCCTGGAGAGCTATCTGGCCCTGGACTCTTGTTTTTTGGGATTTTTGATTACTAATTCAATTTCTTTACTGGTTATGGGTCTGTTCAAATTTTCTATTCCTGTTTCAGTTTTGGTAGTGTATATGTTTCTAGGAATTTGTCCATTTCTTCCAGATTGCCCATTTTATTGGCATATAATTGCTCATAATATTCTCTTATTATTGTTTTTATTTCTGTGTTGGTTGTGATCTCTCTTTTTTCATTCTTGATTTTATTTATTTGGGTCCTTTCCTTTTTCTTTTTGATCAAACA